GGCCGGCCGGGTTACAGGTATTTCAAGTTTTTTTTTAAAAAGTTTTTGTACACGTATTGTAATTTATATAAAATATAAAGTAAAATATATAAAGATAACAATGATTATGGAAAAAATTGCACTTATAAATTGCAAGTGCAACATGTATTTCAATTTTCAAATTTCAAATTTCAAAATTCAACTCTTACAAGTTACAGCTTACAAGTTACAACCAAGTACTAAATTTGACAAGTACTAAATTCAAAGGTTTTGCATTGCCCTTGTAAGTTCTTCATAATCAATATGAACTGATTGTCCTTCTTCTGGAGTGTTAAATTCAGATGGGTTACCATGTGTTAATATATCTCCAAGTTCCTCGTCTTCTGGGTTATCAACATCTTCAGAAAAATTGAGCACTTGATTACGCAATTCCGATGTTACCACGAACAAACGTCAAGCAAGTATTTCAATTTTGAAGTTCAATTGTTCAAACTTCAAAATCCGAATGATAAACACGATAAATTAAATTCAAGAAAAAAGAATCAAATAAAATTAGAAGATGAATTGAAGACTTGAAGTCTTGAAAATTGGAGAATGAGAGAATGAGAGAAATTGAGATTGAGAAATGAGAGTTGAGCGAAGAAATGAAGAAGAGTGGGGGGGGGGGGGGGGTAGTATTTATAGTTTTAGAGAAGGTTAATTTTGTAAATTAAAAAGAGGTTAAATTTTAAAGAAAAGAGAGGCTATTAATGCAATTAACCCGTTGGGCAACGGATCCCTGCCAGGGGTGACCGTTGCCAACGGTTAGTGGACCCCACTGATTTCAAAAAATTAAAAAAAAAAAAGAATTAGCCGTTGTACCGGTCCGGTCCGGGCCGGTTAAACCGGTACACTGCACTGTTCACGTTGACCGGGTTTGACCGGTCCGGTTAACTGTTACAAAAAAATAGACGGACCAACCCCCTCTACCCCTCCTACCCAGCCCCAACCGGCCCCCTATGTACCGGGTCGGTCCGGTTCCGATTTTTACTGGTCTGGGCCGGTTCGGTTACGGGTCAACCAGGCCCGTTAGACACCTCTATGTTGGTGCTAGTAATATGCAAGGGGAAAGAAATGGCCTCAGGTCTTTGATTTTGCAAGACCCGTCTGCATATTTTATTCATTGTTTTGCTCATCAATTGCAACTAGCACTTGTAGCTCTTTCTAAAAAGCATTCGGATGTGGATAATTTTTTTTTATGTTGTCACTAATGTTTTAAATACTATTGGAGCTTCTTTTAAGCGCAGGGATTCACTTCGGCAATATCAATTGGATAAATTGGAAGAGTTGATTAAATATGGAGAAGTTCCTACCGGGCAAGGTTTGAATCAAGAACGGGGCCTCCAACGGCCATGTGATACTCGTTGGGGTCTCATTATTAGACCTCGGACAATTTCATAGTTTTGTTTTCTTCAATTGTCAATGTGCTTAAAGATATGAAACGTGAGAGTCTATATCATCTTGATAGATTTTCCACACGAAATCTTTTGAGCATGATTCAAGAATTTGCATTTGTGATTATGTTGCACTTGATGTTTAAGGTGTTGCTATTGACAAAGGGATTGAACAAAGTTCTACAAAAGAAAGATCAAGATATCGTTAGTGCTATGAGAATGCTTGACCTTGCAAAGAAAAGACTACAAACGATGAGAGAAGAGGAATGAGACTCTTTAATGGAGGAGGTTTGCTCATTTTGTGGTAAACATGACATTGCAATTCTTAACATGGATGGAGACTATGTTATTTGGAAAGTCAAAACGTAAGAGATCTGAAGTTTCATATTTACATCACTTGCGTGTGGAAGCATTTTATGTTACGTTGTTATTGATTTGGAACTTTAAGAGCTTAATAGTCGTTTTGATGTAATGACTTGTGACTTACTCCTTGGTATGACTAGTTTGAGTCTGGTTGATTCATTTGCAAATTTTGACAAGAACAAGATAATGAAATTGGCCAAGTATTATTCAAGTGAATTTGATGACAACAAGCTTCGGGAACTTGATTATCAACTCGATAGCTTCATTGTCTATGCTCAAAATTGTGATAGCAAGTTTCTTAACTTGAAAGGAATTAAAGATCTTGCTAGAGTGATGGTTGAGACAAAATTTGATCAGACTTGGTCACATGTATATTTACTTGTGAAGTTGACCTTGATTATACATGTTGCTACCGCAAGTGTGGAAAGAGCATTATCATCGATGAAGTACATCAGAAATGATCTACGCAATAGGATGGACGAAAATTTCTTAAATAATTGTTTAGTTTTTTATATAGAGCGTGGGATATTTAAGACTGGAAGTAATGATACTATTATTGACCGTTCTCAAAGTATGAATACTCGTCGAGGACAATTGTAAAGTGAATGACGCCTTTTTTGTGAACATAGTATTAATTATAGTTTGCTCATGAACTTGTTGTCATCATAAAATTATACTTGTTGTTCTTGAACTTGTTGTCTCTATAATCATACCAACATCTATATAAAAAAAAATATTATGCACCTATTCTCTTGAAATCCTGGATACGCCTCTGCCTACCTTGTGAAGGTAGAGAGACTGTTTCTGGTACTTTTGCAAAGAGGATATCTTTGCCAATTCTTCATACAACTCATGATGGACGGAGAGTCAAGTCGTTAGTACGAATCGTAGCTTGATTGAGAGCTTGTTTGGATTGGCTTATTTTTTAAGTGCTTTTAAACCAAAATAGCTTTTAAGCCAGTTTGTAGTGTTTGGATAAAGTAAAAAAGTACCTTTTAAGCACTTGTTTTTAAGCTAAAATGACAAAAACAAGCCAAAAGTCAAAAGCTGGAATTCCTAACTTATGACTTAAAAGCTATTTTGGCTTAAAAGTCACTTAAAATAAACTCATCCAAACGGGCTCTAAATTAAATACGTGATATATTTAACAATTATACAGTCATCATTACTGGAAAGTGCTAAAAGTGAGCATTTTATGAATGAAATTCAAAACTCAAGATGATATTAACGAACTGTTTCTTCGGCTAACAAAGTTATGACAGCTGCTTTTGCTTTTTCAATTTCTTAGTTAAGAGAGATGCTATTACTGTATAGCTTCGTCTCATTTAATTTAACAACTTCACTAAACAATAAACTTTTTTATGCTAATATCAGCAGGGTTTACTTATTTAAGAAGTAAAATAGGCCATTCCATATAGCAGGATAGGCAGTGAGGATCTCTTTTTCTGTTCTGTACAAACCGCAATGTTTGAAGCTGTCACAAAGTTTAAAACGCAAATTTGACGTGTCAATTGAATCGTAGTAACACAATAGTAAAAAAGAAATATTGGAGTAGCAGAAAACTAGTAAACAGAAACATTTGTTAAAGATTTATCCGAATGTTCAATGAGCGTCACAAAGGAAAATTGTGAAAGTCGCATGACATGATATTCAGCAGTTTTATGGTATCAAATGTTGGTCCCGAGAAGAAAAAAAAAGACAAAAACAAATAGGGTATATCCACCAGACTCATGTGACAAATTAAAACCAACAATGCACATGTGTATGAAGCTTGTTATAAAAACAGGAACAAACATGTAGGATAGGGAGATCCACAAATTCAAAATAAGGAAAGAGCTATTAACACTCCTACAAAATCTAAAATTCATCTAAGTGTATTCGAAATGAACCATGAATATTCACTCTACAAAACTCAAATTCCCTAATCATTTTAAAAGGAGGGGAGAGTAATTACACTGAGAGATCTCAAAATCATCCTAAAGATGGAATTTTAGGTATTCAAGTGATCCAATTCAAGAGTAGTTAAGCAAGGCATAAAGTGCTTATCTCAATGCTGCTAAACTTGTTTTCGTCCAAGTAACAAAATTAAGATAAAGAGATGATTAAAGCATTCACCTGAAAAAGTAAATAACAAACAGTAGAAACAGATAATAGTTCTGTATTCTTGATGCAAAATTCTAACAGCCAGCATAACTAATACTCTGTAACTCTTAATAAGACAGCAATCTGATATCCAAAAACTTAAATCAACCATCAAAACGAGAATCTCAAACTATTCGAAGGCTCTCCTACACGATAGCATTAGCAGCACTTGCAATCCTAGGCCACAGATCAGCACACTCTTTCCCGATTGGCCCTGTAATTGCAGATCCTACAAAACAAAAACAGAAAACAAGATATTCTGAACACAGAGCTCATAAAAACTGAGTTACAAGACATTAGCCATATCACAATACAGCTAATCACAATCCATAAACTAGCAAATTATGAAAAATTTGCCAAAGTACTTATGGCAGTGAAGACAAGTGGCTCATGCAAATTTACATAGATTGATTTCAGGCATTGAACTTATGCTAGTAAATTACCAAAACCGGTTAACCAGTGCAATTTGGTCTAGATAAAAGGAGTGCAAGTAAATAAATTAAGTTACCTTTCATTTCGCCCTTGGGGTTCACAATAACACCAGCATTATCTGTATTGGGAAAAAGCAAAGCATCAGAAGACAAGTTTTAATATCCGCTTTAAGACACTTGCAAAAGCTGCTCAAAAGATCTTAAATACAACAGTCCCATTAGCAATTACATGCAACTCAAGTATCCAACACACATTCACACAGAGAGAACAGAAGACATAGCATTACTCACTTTGCCCCCAACTTTTGCAGCAAAAAAGATAGTACTAATTGCATATAAGGTTCATGAGTCATACCAAGAAATGACTGGTACAAAAAATGTTTCTCTGTAGAATGATTTTACTTGCTACCTTAATCTGTAAATTCACTAATAAATATATTTTCACCAAAAAGGAATAAATTCACTAATAAATATATTTTCACCAAAAAGGAATAAATGGTTTCCTCACTAGCACGGAGAAGTTACTTTCCCCCACAAATAGCAACTCTAGCTCTAGATTATTTGCTTAAACCAACATAGGCTTCCAATATTCTCATTCTTTAATACTCAATTATGTAGCCTAAACACTAACCTCCTAGCCTATCATTGCCCCTGTCATAAACTTGTGTCAATTGTCACCTGCTTGGATACTTTTATACACATTCACTGAAAAATTATCGAAGGCATGATTCACAGATTAGGACACTTTCAACTAACCTAAGGAAAACACATCCAAAATGAAACTATCAGGAGACTGAGCATTCCTAATAATTTCACATCATAAAGTCCATGCTGTAATATATTGAGTAAATTCTTATTTTTGTTAATAAGGAAAAAGGAAAGCGAGCACAAAGATGTAATGGCATTTGGAGGCGAATTTGTGAACGAAAGAGTCAAAGTGAGTTAGCTTCTGAAAAGCAAAAGTTGGCTCAAAAAAGAGGACCAAAAATCACTTCACAGAAGCAAAAAACCCAATTAGAACTGCAACAAATCCGTACTATGATGTCATTTTTCATTTGTTGTTTACGGCTTTAGATTTGTAGGGCACCCCACAGAAAACCTGTAAGTATTTCAGAGCTATTATTCAGAAGCTCTCCCCTATTTTGCAATCCAAAGCCCGAATTTGAATTTGTTCAAATAATAAAACCCAACAATCTAAAAAAAAAGAAATTAAAGACAATATTAAAGAAGAAAGTGAAGAAGTTCACCGTATATTGATCTAAACTTTTCGAAACAACATTCAGGTTTAGAATGGTGTTAGCTCGCATCTCAATGGAGTAAATTCTTTTTATTAAGTAAGCAGCTCATGGTGTAATACATAATCTACAGGCCAATGATTAAATAAATTCATATGACAGCTTCATATTGATGCAAAATATGTATTATTAAAGTACAGACAACAAAAAATCAATTATCGACTTTTAAATATACCTTCGAAGTACATGAAAACACCGTCCTTTCGGCGCCATGGCTTGCGCTGACGAACAACGACAGCTGGCATAACCTTCTTTCTGAGATCAGGCTTACCCTTCTTCACTGTAGCCATGACCATGTCACCCACACAAGCTGATGGCAACCTGTTAAGCCTTCCTTTGATACCTTTCACCGAAATGATGTAAAGGTTCTTTGCACCAGTGTTATCGGCGCAGTTAATGGTAGCTGCCACCGGCAAACCCAGTGACATCCTGAATTTGTTCCCCGCGGAACCTCCGCGACCTTAACAAAGGTACATTTACACATAAAAAAATATATAAATTAGATTGAATAAGGTAAGGATTGAAACGTAAATTAAGTCTAACGAAATTAAGAGTAGAGGATAGTTGTAATTGAGAAATGTATGTGCGATTTACCTCTCTTCGACATTGTTGACGGCCTTGCTCAGCTGCTCCCCTTTCTCTTTATGCCTCCAAAACCCTAAGAATGAGAGGAATCGGAGGAGCTAGGGTTTTATATGCAGCTTGCATTTGCAAAAGTGCTTAAGCTTACTGGGCCTTGGTCCAATGGTCTCTCTTGAGCTGCTTAGGCCCGTTTGAGAATGAAATTAAGGCCTACTGTCTCGTGTGGCCCAACGTAGCACCTTCTGGTAAAAATGGCGTGTGGTGGCCACTATTGAAGGTGGTATTTATTTTTTATCCAGCAATTCTAATGTTGAGCAAAAATAGCCACTACTTTATTAAAATTATATGAAAAGATATTTTTACCCTTTCTTCCATTGCTTTTCTTCTCAAACCCTCGCTTCTCTCTGAACTCGGAACTCCGGTTGAGATGGCTTCGTCGTCGGCAACAAAACTCGAAAGCTTTTCTCAAAGTTGAAATTCTCAGTTCTCAAGACAAGAAAAAGCACTTTTCTCTTCTTTTTTGTTGTTGACAATTAGTTGTGCTCTTGAACTCAAACTTTACTGTATTGAAAGCTTAAATTCAGACGTGGCAATAGCAAAAGCCACAATCGCCGTTTGACAAAAGGAAAACTATCTTGAAGCGTATTATTGCTGGAATATTGGAGCGGCTCGATAGCAAATAGAATCGGGTTCTATTTTCTTTACCTTATTTTTTATTATCTATCCTTATAATTTATGAAATTCAATATTTTGAATGTTAGGATAGATGATCATGATCTTACAACATATATATTATGTTTTGCATGCAATGCAATGACTAGGAGTGCCCAGAATTATATTAGTTGTACCAACTGATGTTTAACTAGTTGGTACTCAATTCGGTAACATGCATAAATATATGTGGATGGTTATTTCAAGGTTGTAAGATATGAGTTAGGCTTACATTCATACTTGAAATTATTTTGAGATCATGAATATAATATGTGTAAAGATGAACATATATGTGTTTGATTAGAGTAAGAGATATAACTGTTTAAAGTGTTATAGTGGTTTAGTTGAAAAAAAATATTTGTAAAGGGAATTAAAATTCTCGTATTTTTCTACATCCGTTATGGAGAATAAAATCTTCTAGATTTTCTACTCTTGCTTCAAGATCAAAATCTGCGTAATTCTGTACTCGTTCATTGAGATTAAAGCTTTCGTGACTTTCTATACATTTGTCGGAAATTAAAGTCTAAGTGACTTTATACTCGTTTTGGAGATTAAAATCTTAGTGATTTTCTACTCCAATTTATTATTCGGTTTGAAGATTAAAAACTTCACCGTTTATAAGATCTAGTTGTATCAGATGTTACTCGATTTGAAGATTAAAAACTTCACTGTTTATTAATTCTGAATGTGTTAGATTGGTTTGAAGATTAAAAACTTCACCATTTATAATTTCTGGCTCTGTCGTGACACAAACAACAGTTCTTGTGGTTGGCTCAACAATGTAATAGGGGCATCGAATATGAATCTCCTTTTGAAGAAATATGTTTGGAATATGAAATTATTCGCCAAACGATCGCCCCTTAGTCACCGCAATCTAATGGAATTGCGGAAAGAAATAATAGAATGTCAAATGAGACGATGAATGCCTTGTTGATAAGTTCCGGTTTACCCCAGAACTTGTGGGGGGAAAGTTATTTTTCCAAATAACTGTATACTCAGTCAAGTTCCCCATAGCAAGACGCAATCCATTTCATATAAAAATGGAATGGTAGGAATCCCAACTTAAATATTTTAAAGTGTGGGGGTACTTAGCTGCAGTGCAAATTCCTAAACCCAAAGGGGTAAAGATCGGACCGAAAATTATGATTCCGTTTTCATAAGATATGCAACAAATAGTAAGGCATATCGTTTTCTACTTCATAAATCAGAAAATTCCGATATTCATATCAATACGGTAATCGAATCAGATAATGCTAAATTCTTAGAGAATATTTATCCGTATAAAAAGGAATGTGAGTCGTCTAGTGAAATATCTAAGCGACCTCGGGAAGAAGCAAAGGAAAGTACACCTAATGAGGTGAATCCATGACGTCAAAGGACAACTGCTTCCATTGGATCATATTTTCTGACATTCTTGTTAGAAAATGAGCTTCAAACTTTGGAAGAAGTTATGTCTTCCTCGGAAAGAAGCTGTCAATAGTAAGATAGAATCCATATTAAGTAATCATGCTTGGGAAAATGGTTGATCTTCCTTTGGATTCTAAGTGGATTTTCAAAAGGAAAATAAAAGCTGATGGTATTATTAACAAATATATGGCAAGATTGAGTAAGGATTAAGACAATGAGAAGGTCTTGATTGCTTTGACACATGCTTACTGGTAACGAGAATTACATCTATTCGGATGGTAATAGCGTTAGCCGTCGTGTATGGCCTTGAAATCCATGAGATGGGCGTAAAGATAACCTTCTTAAATGGATATTTGGATGAAGAAAATCTAATGGAACAACCTGAAAGGTTTGTGGTTCCTGAAAAAAAAAAGAAGGTGTGTCGACTTGTTAAGTCACTTTACAAACTAAGACCAGCACTCTAACAATGACATGCGACATTTGACCAAATAATATTGTCAAATGATTTAAAAATTAATGAGTGTAAACAAATGTGATTACATTAAGAATACTTCAAGTCATATAGTCATTATTTGATTATATGTAGATGATATGTTGATGAAATATTTAAAATGTGGAGGCTTTTAGCTTATGCATGACAAAAGCCAATGTTAGACGTAATGTCTAAGTGATATAATTTTTGAACCCCATTGATATGGTAGTTGGTAAATTCATCAACTGTTTAGTCTTAATGAAGACTAGTTGATGAAACTACTAATTCGGAAGTTGGCCACGTGCCTTTCTCGAAAGATCATTTTCTTTATTGAAAATTTATATTGTTTAGTTCTTTTATGAAATGATGTCACTTTGAAAGTTGTGACTTTTCATAGAAAGATACGTTTGTACGTTTTTGTATGGACATGATCGTTAATGAACAAATGTATTAATGTGTTGATCTATAATGAGGTGAACCAACTGATGAACATGATAAAAATCTATTGCAAATTGGATTTGTTTCATGAATGAAGGTGCTATAATTTGTATATCATATAGACGTATGAATAAATAGCATACAAATGCTTGAAAATGGCGGAGTGATTGCGAAGTGTATTTTATATTAAAAGGTTGTGGCCACAACTGATGCCAATCATTCCAGCTGTTTTTATAATATACGATTGATACATTAAGTGTAGTCAATAATTTGATATGCAATCGAAGGTCGATACGTATTACTCTACGACATAAGAAAGTTTGCATTGAACTTTCATGAGAATGAAACGAGTTTTGAAGTATTTGAAGTATACTCCAAATTATGCTTTGCACTAAAATAAGTATCTCTCGATAATAGAGAGGTATAGTGATGCAAATTAGATCACCGGTTCAACCGATTCTAAACAGTCGGTGGAGGAGCGATGTCTTGGAAATCGTTCAAACAAATGTACATTGACCGCTCTACAATGGAGATTGAGTTTATAGCCTTAGAGAAGGCCGGTGAAGAAGCTGAATGGCTCCGAAATTTCTTGGAAGATATTTTATTTTGGCCCAAACCTTTGGCACCTATTTGTATACATTGTGATAGTCAAGCGACAATAGGAAGGGTTGGGAGCGTTATGTATAACGGAAAATTTTGTCATATATGCGAAGACATAGAACCGTTAGGCAACTACTCTCTAGGGGAATTATCATAATTGACTATGTAAAGTCAAGCGATAATATATCGGATCCACTTACAAAAGGCCTATCTAGAGAGGTAGTTGAAATATCATTGAAGGGAATGGGGCTAAGGCCTAGGACAAGTCATCATGGCGGTAACTCTACCTAGCAGACTGGAGATCCCAAGAGCTAAGTTCAAAGAGATCAAACAAAGTTATGAATGACGGTTCAACATTGTTAAATAACTCAACCCATTCTCGTGATGACGACAATGTTCAGAAATCAAGGTAAAGCATTAAGGCTTTTTGATGAGTTAATAAAGCTTAAAGCTTTTTAATGATTTTCTAAGTCTGGCAGAATATGAATAGATAGTGTGTCTATAGGATTACACGTTTAGAAATCACCTATGTGAGTGTTAAGTGTAAGCCGCTTTAAGGGGAATGAAAGTAAAGGCCCATTCTCTAAGCACTCATGAAACCAGGCGGTGTTCATGGCTGAAACGAACACAACCGTGAGAACCAAAGACGGTTAAGGGTTAATTGTGTGACTTATGGTTGTCTAGGTATACACCAAAGTTCGACGGTTCAAAGATATCAAATCTACCGATTGACCGAGTATATCCGACATAAGTTCACTACGGAAAGTTCAAAGGGAAACCTACTTATCCAGATGCGATTAATCCTTATTTGTGAATCACACAGTATTTTCGTGCATGTTTTTCCTCATATGACCATTCCCCATTCATGTGGGGGATTGTTGCGGTTTTATTAAGGGGTGTGAATGGGAAATTGAAGAGGCACATTTTAGATTGCACCTCTCCATATCACCCTTCCTTTGTCTATAAATTTAGAGGCTTGGCCTCATTTTTCAGACATGAAATCAGACAAGGAAAATCTGAAATCTTTTCCCCTCATTTATACATTGTTGCATTATTTTCTAAATAAACATAAGTGTCAAGTGTGATTTGCTCCGTTTGTTGAGTTCGCTGAAGTTCTGTGATTTGAAGTGCTGCTTTCACAGAATAGTTATTCCGTTCTATCCTGGGAGGAATTAATCCTCATACCTTTGGCAACAGCGAGGGGATTAAATTCCTTAAGGACACATTGTGCATTCAGTGGGCTCGAAATTATTTTACGTTTTGTTTATTGAACTAACGTTTGTTTACTTTTCTGATTTTGAACATAGTAATACCAACAATCTTAAGGAACTTAACATCTTTCTATGTTCGAGGCCCTCAGTTATTCTATTAATGTTATAGCTTCTTTAAAATTACAAGTTTTAAGAGTCTTTAATTTTATTAAACTACATTTCCAAACAATAGTGGGATTTTACTGGGTGGTTGTTGTTGTTATTCCCAAACAAATCGATTC